GTTCAAGTTCACCAGTCACTCCTCGGATACCCTATACAGGGTTGCTATGAGTTGGAACTGACTCAATGGTTCTTAACGACAAGAATATGGATCAACAGAAAATAACCTACCTTGGGGATAAAGATAAGTCTGTTTCCTCAGCACCTTCTACTCTAGGTCTTACCACACAGCGATTAACTCAGGTTTGTCTGTTTCTCTCTCCGGAACAGAAGCTTCCCAAAAATGTTCCTCTGATGTGTTACAAGTGAGTTGCAGACACTGATCTCACCAGTCTATGGATGGCTGTACAGGATATGGAATGGTTAGAGCCCTTTGTCCTGTCATCTCGTTTCAGCAGCTATGTGTGTGTATCACTATCACTACATCCCTTCTAAGCCATGATGAGGAAAAGGCTAGGAAGTACTTCATTAAACTGTGAGCTCCTTGCCTGTAGGCACCATGCTTTCTTGTGTTTTGTGTACCCAGGCTCCAGCACCATAACTGACCTGTAGCTAGAGACTGAGATGCTTGTTCCTGGAGACCATGGTTCTCATTATGGTGGCAAAACATTTGCGAGGTTTAGAAAGACCTGCAAGTGGTCCTTAATCTTTTTCCTTTTATCTGACAAACTAGAGACATGGTTTCCAGATTCTCAGAGTCCTAGGCTTCCTAGGACAGGATTCAGAGGCTGGCTGGGTAGGGAGGAGGTGTCACATAAGGACATTAATTATTCTCCCAACTCCCTATTACCACCAGAGCAGTGTTACTTTTACCCATTTTATACATAATTTAAGTAAGCAAGATGTTACTGAAGAAAAGGTTTGACTGCTATAAAAAAATATTTTTAAAAAACTATTGTAACAGAGAACAAATGTTCTACTACATCTTAAACTCATGCCTGACACTCTTGAGCTTAAGTTAATAAAGGAAGGGTTGGTGCCAGACTCTCACCAGGATGGAGTGCTAAGAGTTACCAAAAGACCTGTCACATCCAGTCATCTCACCTTTCTTCAGGAAAATACTGACAATGGTGGATCCTTGAAATCTTGAAGCATTTCCTTACTAGCCTACATGGGGCAGATCTTTGGCAGAAGCCTATTACAAAGCTCGAATACATTTGTCAGATACCCTTCCTCAAGCCCTTCTTTCTCAGACTATGTACACCAAAGCTTCCAAACATTTATAAGACTCACAAGTGCTCCCCATGTCTTTTCATTGCAGAAAGCTTTATTAGTACTCCACCTGTATTTGTGACAGATGCTAAAAAAGGTAGAGTAAATGGAGAATTACAAAGATATGACAATCTGGGTTTTAAGTACATTCTGAAACAGATACTCAGAGACAGATATTTAAAGAATCCTCAAATACTGGTTGAAGCCTAAACTAATAGGACCCAGGAATCTAAATCCCAGACCTAAGTCAGAGTGCTCTTTTGTGGAAGAGTCGATGAACACCTCAGAGTCACACTGACTTTTTTAACATTTCTGGAGCTCCCATGTCCTCACCCTGTATCTATATATTGATGGCTCAGGGCCCCTGGCTGGCTCCAGCTCTAACTCCACCTCCCACTCAGGCAGCAGGCGCTGCTTCTGTGAGGTTGATGCTGAAAACAGATTTCACCGGAGTCCTAGTGTGGCGCTGTGGCTTAACGCACCAGACTGCATAGCCGTTTGAACTGCAAGGTCAGAGGTTCAAGCTCACCAGCTGCTCCTTGGAAACCCTATACAGGGTCGCTATGGTCAGAACCGACTAGACAGCACTTCACAACAACAACAAGCCTACAACCAGCACAGAAAATGTCATGGTAACAATCAACACTTCACGCGTACCTCAGGCGGCAAGTTGTTCTTTTGTAAACCTCCACTCCTTTAAACTAGTCCTGGGTGTTATTACTATGATGATAATGATGACTATCAGCAGCTGATACCAGAGTCCTGGTGTGGCACTGTGGGTTAATGTGCCAGACTTTAAAGCCATTTGAACTGCAAGGTCAGTGGTTCAAGCTCACCAGCTGCTCCTCAGAAACCCTATACAGTGTAGCTACGGGTTGGAATCGACTCGACGGCACTTAACAACAACAATAATACCAGAGGGCTTCAAAAAGCTCATGACAAATTCCATTCTTTTCACTTCATTTTTCTACAAACTTTCTGAAGCCCCCCATATCTATTTGGTGTTTTCCATGTATTTTGCACAATACTAAGCACTTTGGTAGTGTGGAGGGTCAGAGAAAAAGAGGAAGACCCCCAAAGAGATGGATTGGCTAGGTGGCAGCATCAATGGACTCAAGCGTGGCAACGGTAGTGAGGATGGCCCAGGATCAGGCAGTGTTTCGTTGTGCATAGGGTCACCATGAGTCAGTACCAACTCAATGGCACCTAACAACAACACACAAGAAGCACTTTGGACATATCATCTTAACTTTCATGACAACCCTAGGAGGTAGGCACTATCATTAGCCTCTTTACAGATGATGAAAATGAAGCTAAGAAAGCGCAATTTATTTCACCAAAACCAAGCAACCAGTAATTCAGAAAGGCAGTATTTGAGTCCAATTCTGATTCCAAAGCCCACAATCTCAGTTACCACACTATTCTGCCTCTGAATTCACCTGTAACCAAAATGGTGAGAAGAACCACACACAGTGACAATGCTTTGATTTTGGGCCTCTTGACATTCACTTCTAAAGCTATTTGGGAAAGCAGGGCCCACAAATTCCCCCAGTTATATACTCAGTTTTAACAAACCTGATTTTAGAGAAGTTCTTCCTTCTAACCAACAAATCCCACTCACAGTCCTCTGAGTCTATTTCCTCTTATTCTGATTCTAGTGGGAAAGGGACTCGCACAAATAAGCACACACTACAATATAACCCTTTGTGCACTTCCACTCTTTCCAGCCTGCTGTCTGCTCTTCTTGGTACTTACATTCCATATAACAGTAGCAGTTACCATTCACTAGCACCAATGCTGTGCCAGGCGCCATTGTACACACACGGGCCCTCCTCAGCTATATCTCCAGGATTTCAATTCACAGGCACCACTTTGATAGACTTAGCCTAATGGAGAGCTCCTTCACATACACTGGGGAAGCAGATCTGGGATTTCAGATAAATGATTCTATGTTCTAGAAAGATTTTTTTTTCTTTTTAGACCTTAGCACCTGTTATCCATGACTAGGTTGTGCCTCTCAGGATGGTAGAGACTAGGATTTCTTAATTATAGAGCCCAAGGTTCTCTGTGCCCTTGTTTGGTTATTTCCAAGCACTGCCCCCTGCCAAGCCATCTCTTTTCCTTTCCTTTAACCTGTCATCAGAAAATTTGTTGAGTTCTAGCCATTCACACTTTATGTGAATGCACTCATCAAGACTGAAACTGTGTGCACCAGCATTCTGGAAGACAAGAAATGAGATCCAATTCCTGCACTCAAAAAGCTTCTAGTGTCTTTGGAAATGTAAGGTGTACACATATAAAAACTTTGGCTATGCAAAGTAATAATTCTATGGTGGGAGGCAGGAAGCATCTGAGTATGTGTTAACATGAAGGCCTTTCCCAGATGAATCCAACCAAGTTAATGACTCATTCTGAAACTCAAGAGATCAGCTTCTTTCTTAGAATGAGCTTTTATATACATGTTATTCAGCCTTGGGTCTAATGTACAATGACCACTCCACTATCCTATGCCAGTCACAGCAAGTGGAGACATTTGTCCCAACAACAGGCCTAACACAGAATGGCAGCAAAACCTGTCACCGCCTACTACTGATGGAGGGCAGGGAAGGAGGTATGCAGAGACTGGATTCAGTCCTGTTGCACTGGCCCAAGCAATCAGACTCCTACAGCAGATCTCCTCCCAATAAAACTTTCATGCCATAGACCAATGGTGACCCAATCCAACAGCAGCAGAGACAGGTTTTAAATTACACTTCTCCCTCACCCGATGACCTCATTATTTCTTCTCACTTATGACCACATACCACATTCCTCCACCTCCACTACCACACTCCTCCTGGTGTGGCCAGATGGAGACTAGTAAGGGGCAGTAATACAACCCGAAAAGAAGTGAACTCTCCCCAAAATGAGGCACTACTACTCTGCTAATCAAGTGGCCTGTTTTAACAGGGAAGTCCACCTTCCCCTCCTTCACTCAAAAGCACTGGTGTGAGCAATGGCTCCCATTTTCTGTTCCGGGAATCCTGGTACTTCCTAATGAAAGAAAGCGGATTGGAAGACGCCAACTCGGGACCAACGACAAGATGCTCCCTCCTCCTGTGAGACCGCCCCCGCTTTGCTTGGGGGAGGAAAGCCCCACCTCTCTTCTCTAAGCAAGATCAGACCCCCTCCCCCTTCTCCTGCCTCCTCTCCTCCCTCTCTCCACCTGCTGCCCTCTTTCCTACCTGCGGTTCCCAAGACCCAAAAGCTTTACCTCCAGCAGAAAGAATACTGCCCCCACCCCCGCGTGCCCCACTAGCCTTCCTGGCCGGCGAATCTCTGAACCCCTTACGTACCCCTGCCCCATGATTGAGGGGGAGGGTGTCACCAGTGTCACCACAGAAGGCTTGCTCCAGTCTCCTATTTGCTAGGGTGGAGAAGGCAGAGGGGACAGGAGAAAGGGGCATTCCCCAGCCCTTTAACAGAAAAAAAAAAAAAGGATACAAAACAGCCATCACCGCCCCCGCAAAAGCGCTCTCTGGACGGCTTTCCACCCGCCCCACCCCAGCCCCTCGCAAGTCCACCGCCTTCAGGCAAGAAGAACCCAACTGCAGCCCAGGTCGTCTGCTTGTGCGAGGCGGAGGGCAAATCCGTGTGCGACCCCCCACCCTCACCCCGACCCCAGCTCCTCGTCCTTCAAATGTGGGGGCAGGCGTGGGACTGGCCCGGCACCTCCTTTCCAAGCTGCCGGTGAGAAGGACCACACCACCCTATCCCAGGCAGTGCCTGGGGGGTGGGGGCGCTATCCCCTCAGCCCCCACCCCGTGTCTCTCCTCTACCGGGATCCGCCTTCCCTCCCTAGCTCCTCACCGGTTCCAGCTCCCAGCTCAGCCGCTGCGACCGCCGCCTCCGCCCCCGCAGGTTCTGCTCCTATCTCGCTCCGCTACCTCCAGCTCCCCCGGCCGACTTCGGCTTGGCTGTTTCCCCTGGCCCCGCTCCCCAGCTCCCTCCCTCTTTCCCTCCACCTAGCACCGGAAGCCGCGACGGCTAATGGAGCTGTGCAGCTCACCCCCACCCCTAGCCCTGGATACTTCCCACCTCCCGATCACGCGAGAGTTACGACGCGTCTAGCGGCAGTTCTCGCGAGATCCATCACCATGGCAGCGGTTGCAGCAGTGACTGCCAGGCTCCAGAGCTAGATCCTGGGCGGGGGCCGATGTGGGGGCTAGAGGCTGCGGGCGGCGGAGGCGGGAGCTGAGAGATGGGGATGAGACGGTGAGGACTGAGGTGAGAATCCCAAGCCAGGATCCATGCCTGAAATTTGAGGATGGGGCCTCGCACTGACGACATCAAAGACTACTTGGTCTGAGAGACCCGGGGCTCTTGGGCGAAGTCAGAACTAAGTCAGCTCTGCTGGTGTATACCTTACCCCGGCAGACCTCTTCATTTCTTAACCAGTGCCAGCCGCATCCACCTGAGAAGCCTCACTGCACCAACGTTGCTCACTTTCCTTAAAGAGTAGGTTACTTGGGATCTGAACAAGAGATCCTTTCCTGGGAGAGAGGAGGGGTGATGAATTTAAGGAATTGAATGAAACTGGACTCTTGGCCGCTTAAATTGGAACTTAAAAGGCAGGAACAGTTGAAGCCTATTATAAAGACCTGGAGTTTGAGAAAGTGTGCCTACAAGAGTAAGGATTTTAATATCCCAAAGAAAGTGAAAGGACTTTACAACCAATGTTTCTCTCCTACCCATCCCTAAGTCCCTTACTTTCATTTTGCACTTGGTCTAGACATGAAAAGCTGCATTGGAACAGTCATGCTTGTAGTAGAAGGACACTAGGCATGCTGAGAACAGAAGGTTCTATAAATGTCATCTCTCCCTACTTACAGCATGGCTCTTCCCTGAGAGCGAAGCAGAAGTTACTGCTTGTATGGATTCTTTTCCCCCATTGTTTCTTACAACCTTCCAAAAAGAACTAGGCTGGAAATAGCCATACTATGGAGCTCTGGTAGCATAGTGCTTCTGAGTCGGGCTACTAATCTCTTAGGTCAGCAGTTCAAAATTACCAGCAGTTCCGCAGGTGAAAGATGAGACTTTCTGCACCCATAAAGATTTACAGCCTCGGAAATCCTATATAGGATCACTATAAGTCAGAACAGACACCACAACACATAACCACCACCAGCCATACTATTATCTGCTCTCCCATCCCCATCAATCCCTGGTGTTTGTGCTCACCAATCCCTTACGCTTATCCCAGTTTTTTTCTCTCTTATTTTAACCTGGAGAGTAACAGGAATATGAAGCCAAGAGGACTCTACTGCAGAATGATGAGGGGTAAGATGAATGACAAAGAGCCTGTTTATAATAAAGAGTCATTTACTAATAATACAGAGGCATCTTGTGCCTTTAAAAATACAGAGCTCAGCAGGGCAAAGGCAATGACTATAGTCCTGGTGTGGTGCTGTGGGTTAATGTGCCAGACTGCAAAGCATTTGAACTGCAAGGTCAGTGAGTGGTTCAAGCTCACCAGCTGCTCCTCGTAAACCCTATACAGGGTTGCTATGGGTCGGAATTGAGTCGACAGCACTTAACAACAACAACAACAGGGTAGACTCCTGGTGTGGCACTGTAGGATAAGCATTGGACTTGGAACCACAAGGTCTTCAGTTCAAATCCACCATCTCTTCCTCAGAAACCCTTAACAGGGTCACTATGAGTCAGAATTGACAGAGTAGGTGCTGAGTTAATCCATATGACTGCTTTACTCTTTTTATTTCTTTTCCTAGAATTTTATAGTAGCACCTCCCACAGATCATGTCCCCACACTCTGACCACCAAAATTATGCTATACATTCCCCCCTCCCTAGTGTCTACAACCAATCTGATTGTGGGACTTTGACAATGAGGTGGAACCTACTGATATTCCTGCTCAAACCAGATTCTCTTGAGTTTGGATCCCAGTTATGACAAAAGGATGGAAATGGTGACAGCCTAATATGGTTTGCAGCAAGTACCACAGTATATGAGTCAGGACTGATGGGACTGAAAAATCTCCAAGCCTTTCAGTCCTTTGGAGTCTGAGAAGGAAAGCGACTGGTGTCACATCAGTGAAAGGTTTTACTCAAAGCTAAGAGGAGCACATAGAAAAGTGTTGCTACTCGCCTGGCATTTAGTCAGTCACTGCCACTCCCCAGCTTCCCAGCCACTTGGTTGAGGCTATGGGGAGAAGAGCTCATCCAGAAGAAGGCCAAGAGGCTGGACTTACAATTCATCAGTCATCCTCCCTCCCCCTGGCTGCTTTTGGGCTGAAATTGCAGTCACCACTCTGTGGGTTGTACACTCACTCCCACCCTTGTCACTGACCCCAGGCCTGGGCCTGAGCCCAGTGCATGTGCCAGGAGCAGGAGGGAGGTGGGGTAGGGGCTGGCCTTGCTGACAAAATCCATTTGGAATTTCTCAAGGTTGTGGTTTGGGGCTTAAGTTTGCCACAGAGTGTATCTGATGAAAGAAGAGGGAAAGCTAGAAACAGCGCCAAAGGGAATACAGAGGAAGGAAATAGGAAAAAAAACTGAAATATACTTGCTGGGATTCTATTGGCAATTCTTCTGAAAAAGTTCTCACTTTGCATAGTCTTTATCAATACGCTCATACCTTATGCCCATTCTAGCTGCACTCCCCTCTCCTTCTAGACACACATTAAGCTCAGTTAGTGTCTGAAATAAGGGTGTGATATCTTCCTGACTCCATTAAATTTCCAAACCCAGAATTCCCAGTGCTCAAGTGGAACTGTAGCATATAAAATACTGCCTTAATCCAACACTCCTCAAAAATTTCCTGTTACCCTAGTGCATTTTATCCTTACATCTAATTTTGAGAGTAATTTAAATAGCAGATATATCTATTGCCTAAAGGAGAAAAGAGAATGATTTCTACCTTCCCTGGACAAGTAGATAACCTGTCAGAGTCAGCATCTGGCAGCCCCATAAATATGCAGTCTAAATGTGCCATGCGTATCCTTTTTTTGCAGTGACTCTTGGAAACATAACAGTTTGTTTCTTGAACTAGGAATAAAGAGTTAAAAAAAAAAAAAAAGTTCTATTCTCTGTTGTTATGGTTATCTCTTAAAAGATCAAGAAATTATTTTACCAAGATTAAATGCAAAAGAGCCCCCAGTAAGGAAGGACAAAATGCACAAGCAACAAATTCAGTGGGAAAGCATGCTGTTTTCCAGAGGGGGAGTGGAAACTCTGCAGTCCAGCGCATTAATCTACACTACCACACCAGGACAGAAGTAGATAAGCTCGAAACAAAGTCTTTTGAACCACAAGGTCGGTGGTTCAAGCTCACCAGCTGCTCCTCGGAAACCCTATACAGGGTCGCTATGGGTAGGAACTGACTTGATGGTACAATAACAACAACAGCAACTTCTGTCAAAGGATCTCTGGTAGTGTAGTGATTATGAGTCAGGCTGCTAACCTCAAGATCAGCAGTTCAAAACTACCAGCCCTTCCAAAGGAGAAAGATGAGGCTTTCTGCTCCCATAAAGATTTATAACCTCAGAAACCCTGGTCAGGATGGCTATGAGTTGGAACCGACTCCACAGCACACAACCACCACCACCACCATTGCTGTCAACTCCTTTCCAACTCATAGCAAGCAACCCTATAGGACAGAGTAGAACTGCTCCATAGGATTTGTCAAGGCGCCATAGGATTGCCTCATCCTCCCTCAGAGCATCTGGTGGGTTTGAACTGCTGACCTTTTGGTTAGCTGCCCAATGCTTAATCCACTGTACCACCAGGGCTCTTTGTTTTGCATATCTCTCATTAGTCTTGCATCTACTTTACATGTTTTGGTTTAGAGCCAGAGAGAAAACACACCTTTTCTTTTGGGTCTAGGTTCAATGTTGAGATACATTTAGAACTTGAAAAGTCCAGAACAGAAGTGGCTTCCTGATCGAGGGCAAAAGCCAACAAACTATGGTAAAAAGGTCAAATCTAGCTCTTAAAACAAAACAAAAAAATTTAAACCACTGACCTTACAGTTAGCAGTTCAATACTTTTGTGAATTAAGTTTATTGGGACACAGCTATGCCCATTAATTTATGTATAGTCTATGGCTGCTTTTGATCTATAATAGCAAAGTTAAGTAGTGACAAAGCCCACAAGCCTAAAATATTAACCATCTAACCATTTACAGGGACCCCTGGTGTGGTTGTATAGGATCAGCACTGGACTTCAAACCACAAGGTTGGTAGTTCAAACACGGTCACTATGAGTCAGAACTTAATAACAACAGCCCTTTACAGAAGAAAAAATGTATTGACCCTTGTTCTAGGGCAGCGACTATAGTGAACTCTAGAATTTGAGTCAGGTTGTTGTATGCCCTCAAGTCAGTTCTAACTTATAATGACCTTTTATAGGGCTTTGAGCAACTGGTGAGTTTGAACCACCAACACTCCAGTGCTTATCTTACAGAGCCACACCAGAACTCCACATACAGAGAGTAAATAGGGCCTAGGTTTGAATGTTTAGCCTGCCCTCCTAGACATCCCCTCTGGTTTTCCACACTAAAATTGCCAGCTAGTTACCTATGACCATTTGAAATCCCTTTGTGGGACCAGGCAGGTATTGCATGTAGGAGGGCAGGAGATTCATCTGGTAAATGATGGACTGGGATCCCAAATGTGGGCAGAAATATCACCATTTACATCCACTAGTCCAGTAACTTAATTTATTTTAGTTATAAACAAGAACCAAGAACAAATCTCAGTACAATAAATTATCCATTCCCACACACCTCCTGCTGAAGAAGGAAAAAGAGGCTCAAAAGATTTTAGGTAAAACCCTTCCTTTGAAGGATCCTGCTTTAACATTTGAATGAATGAACACAGCTTCACTGAGGCCTGAACCAGCAACTCCAAGGACTCAGGGGAGAGCACCTTCCAGCACTGTTCCTTCACTGTGAAAAGCCTTTCTACTGCTGTCTTCCACTACCCAACAAGAGGGTCCCAGGCTGTAGTAAAGGAATTTGGCAACCTCAAGTATGAGTGGGTGGTTTCTTTCCAAATATAGGTCTTATGGGTCCACATAATGCCTGGGGTTGTCCCTCAAGGGAGAAGAGTTTTCAAACTTCAGAGACTCCCCAGCCAAAAGGAGAATGAATTAAGGCTAAAGCGGCCCTGATTTTGGGGGCAGGATGGGGGTGGGGGGGGTGGAATGTCAGCAATACAGTGCATTTCATCTTAGTCCATTCAGATATTCAAGGAGCAGAAGAGAGGTGAAAGCTCCCTCCCCAGGCCCTCCCACTGTAGGGAGAGCTATACATCACAGACTCCACCTGTCTCCCACCATGCCCAAAACAGTTTTCAAGGAGATGCTTAGCACTTCCAGGAACAGTGGAGGGTTTGCAAAGGTGCCTCTGTCACACACACTCCCTTTGCCTAGCCCCATGGGGAGGCTGCGCTTCACTTGCACACGTTGACCCACTCTGTGACCTTGCACTCATCACACAGCACATAGCAGCACCAGTGGAAGCGGCAATGACAACGCTCAACTCGTGTCTGCCGGAGCACATTGTGCCCACGGCCACAGCACAGGCTGCCACAACCATCCAATAGGCGGCTGGTCTTGTTGCAGGCCCGGCCCCGTGTGCCCGGGGAACCCACGGCAGGGTCTCGTTCACAGAAGTCAGGAGATTTCTCAAAGTAGACTAGCTCTCCTGAGAGGCGTCGAGGCCGTAAACGAGGTTGGAAAGCTCCTGAGTTGCGGTTGTGGGTATCTATGAAGATGGCCCGGCCCAGCCGCTCTCTTAGTGCTGCCCCCACTGCTCGGAACTCTGGGGCAGCCTTCCAGCAGGTCTTGAACTGGCAGCTGCCTGATGTGCCATGGCACTTGCATTTCCGCTTCAGGTTTTCAGTTACTACCTAGAACATCAGAGAGGGCAGAGGTGGAGGGGAAGGCAGCAAATGAATAGAGCACAGAGGCACAGGAGAGGGAAGGAAACAGCAAAGGAAAGACAAATGGAGGCAAGCATGACCATGAAGCATTTTGAGGTTAGCTAGTAACCCAACTCCCTCATTTTATGGTTGGGGAGCTAAAACCACTAAGAACAGGACTCAACTCCAGTTGTCCTGGCTCCCAATCCAGTGCTCTTTCCAGACTGAGCACTATTAAAATGGGGAGTCTGGCCTACAGCACTCCTAAATTCTGCAGGGAAGGCAGCAGTAACTATAGCTACCATTTCATGAGCACCTGCCAAGAACTAGGCTCTATGGTGGGTGTGTTACTTGCTGCTGTTGTTAACTAACAGCTTCTGACTCATAGGAATCCCATGCACAACGGGATCAGACCATAATGATCCATAGGGTTTTCGTTGTCTAATTTTTTCCAGGCTTTTCTTCCTAGTCTGTATTAGTCTGGAAGCTCTACTTAAACCTGTTCTGAATCATAAAAATACACCGACAGACTCCACTGACAGGTGGTGATTGCACATGAAGTACATTTTGCCAGGAATCAAACCTGGGTCTCCTGTATGCAAAGTGAGAATTCTACCACTTAGCTACTACTGCCCCCTTGCTACTTGCTAGCTCAGTCTGAAAGACACTGTAGGGTGGTTATCTTCAGGCTCTTTTTACCAATGCAAACCTGAAGTCCAGAGACTTGCTTCAGGCCACCCAGCTGCTAAGTGGCACTCACTCTCCACACCCATCCTAATTAACCTTTCAAACTTTAGCAAGTGTAGGGACACACATACCTGGCGCCCCACTCTGTTGTTGTGGATCTGCATTCGTGCTTGGATGTCCCGGGGCGCTTCCCTGGAATCCAGGAAATCCCGAGAGAACTTCTCTCCAAAGTCCATGTCATGGTTACAGCCACCCCATTCCCAAGTGTCTTGGGGGCTAGGGCTGGAGCCTGAGCCAGGGACAGGGCTGGACAGAGAGTGAGGAAAACTCTTGCCCCGTGACAGTGCCTGCAGCTGCAACAGTTTGGCCCTCAGCCGATCCTGCTCACCGCTGCCCTTCCAGCCACAGCCGCAACTCACCAGCTTGCCCAGGCTACAGGCTGTGGCTACAGCATGCATGACACCTGCAGCCAGCATGGAGAAGGAAAAGGCACTTTCTCGGAAACCTGGGGGTGAAAACAGTATAATGGTAGGGATAAGGGTGATAAGAAGTTGGAGAGGAAGGGTATTAAACAGCCACCCTCCAAGTCCAGAAATTCCGAATTGAGTCTCAGTTTCCTCATTATAAAAGGGCAAGATCTCTGCGGCTCATTTTCACTCTATTACTCCTTGATTTTCAGGTGTCCATACAAGAGCTAGCCCAGAGGGAGAGACCTCCTGAGGTTGGGAGAGGACTGTAAGGGAATTCCTGAGTTTTCCATCCAAAACCTTAAAAAAATTTCCAGCCCTGCAGGGAGGTTGGGTGGGGTGGGAGCAGAAGCTTTGAGGGCTCTCTCTTTTTTTTGGCTTCAGGATCATTTAAAACATTTTTTAAAGCAACCTACCCTCTACCATCCCAACTCCCCCAAAGCACCTGCCCTTCCCAGGTTCTAGTTTTACATTTGTCCTTCAAGACTGCCCTCTATGTTTATCCTAACCTACCATTACCCTATAAAACACTGGAAGAAGGGAGAGGTTGGGGTGATTTTCCCTGAGGCTCTCTTAAAAAGTTGGGTCCTTTGTTAAGAATTGGGGGTCACAAGCTTAAGATGACAAGACCTTCCCAGACTTAGATAAACCTGCTCCATATTTTGGCATCAAAGCTTTTCTCCACACCAGGACTGTGGAGAAAGAAGGGTCCCTCACTTCCTTTAAGTCACAGTCTCTGGAGGCCTGAGAAGATGAGAGACACATTTCCTTAGGGGCCGAGTCTCTCCCACCCTAGGATGCAGGGCTCCTAGCCCAGCCTCCGATTCCCCCCAACTCCAACCCTCCAGGGGTGAAGCTGTTTGCACACGTCTTGGGAATTCCCCTGCAGATGGCAGCTGCCTATTAACCCCGTAGTCCCCAAAGCACTACCCCCACCCCTGGGATGGAGCACCGCTGGATCTACACCTCCGGGAAGTAAGCTGGGCAAGGCCTGGAGAGAGGCAAGCAGCAGGCCTCCCAGACCAGGCCCGCAGTGACCTGTTCTCGCCCCTCTAACTGTTCCTCACCTGCTCAGGTGAGCACCACCTGGGGCCCCCACAACACAGAGGAAGGGGCTGCTCCCTGGCTTCAAAGCCATCGGGGTCTTTGTTCCCAGTTTCAGCTCTTGGGAACCCCGGCAATTAGGGGAGCAAGTTTAACTCTTAAACAGCTGGGGGCGTCTCACCACCCCCGCGGAGGCTTTGGGGACACCAGCCCGGGCTTGTCTCCAAGAGAGGGAAGGGGAAGAAAAAGGGGGGAAGGAATGGGGGTGGGCTTTGAAGCTTCCAGGGCTGGGGGCATCTCTTACGCACAGGTGCAACCTAGGTCGAGCAGGGCGGAGGCAGGAAAGGGGGCCCTGGGGTGGGAGAGCCCCGGACCCAGCTGCCTTGCCGGCAGCGCACAGGTGAAAGTGAGGCGCTCAGGGGCCCAGACGGTAGCCAGACCCCGCTCCGCGCGGCTCCGAGGGGGAATTCCCGGGAGAGGCCCTCCACGAGCCGTGAACCCGTCCCTTCCCGCCTCCGCTCGCCTCGGCCTGCCCCCACCCCAGCTCCGGCGGCAGCGCAGAGCCACCCCGCCAGGCTCACCGCGCTTGAGGATGGCGCTGTGGTGTGGCAGGCGGCCGCCTCCCTCCAGCGCCGAGCAGTTCCAGCGCTGGTCGTTCAACTGGTGCTGACACTCGTGGACAGCGATGTGCAACCCCTGCAGCGCGGACGCCGTCACGTCGGGACTGCGCAGGCACAAGCCCAGCTGCCTCTTGCTCAGTCCCGACAGTGTCAAGCACACGGTATTGGCCGTCAGCGGCGGCTCGCCTGGCAGCTTCAGGCCCAAAATCTCATTGCTGAGGGCCCTGGAGGCAAAGGGGGCGGCTTGGGATCTAGGGTTCAGGGCTTGCACCCCCTCCAGCTCCCCCAGACCCGGGCCCGTGGTTTCTCCGGTTGGCTGCGAGACAAGAGGGAACTGCTCACCGACTGCATAGCGCAAGGAACAGGAGGCCCACGAGGCCCGAGGTCGAAGGCCGTGGCCGGGGCTCCTCCAGCATGTCGAAGCCCGGCCCGGAGGCCCCCCGGTGGGCAGATGGATCAGGGCCTGAGGAACAGGGCGACTTGAGATCGGCTCAGGAATCCGAAGGCTCTCCCAGGCCGCCGAAGGATGCCCTATTTCGGGCTTCTAACCCACCGGTACCACCCACTGATTCTTCTCACCATTCCCCAAACCAAAGGAACCACAATAAGAATCACCCCTTGATGCCCAGAGACCCTGGGTTCTGGAGGGCTAAAATAAGACGAGTCGAGTCGTAGACTGGCTTCGTAGCTCGGAACTCACACGAGTGCCCCTGCCACCCTGCCCAGGCAGACACAATGCCGGGCACACAGACACACGCGCAAACCCTGACCCAGAGAGGCGCGCAACAACCGCGCCGCCACCTCTTCCACCGCTCCCCTTCCGAGGGCCCCAGGATCGCTTCCCCCGCCCAACCCAACTTCACGCCCCCAGAGGGCTGGGGGCGGGGTTCGGAGGGGGTTCCCCACCACCTACAGCGGGAAGGGGGAGGGGTGTCGCCTCCAGGTGCCGTCGAGGGCGGGCGGGTTCGGAGAGAAGGGCAAAGAAATGGTCTCCCCAACCCGCTCTTTCCACTCTTCCTAGGCAAGAAGGATGAGAGGTGCGGCAAAAAGGGGGACCAGGATGTGGTTCCCGCCTGAAAGGGACCGTGGTACACGCTGAATCCTCTTCCCAGACTGGCCCCACTCCCTAACTGCACGTTCCTCTCAGCCGCTCACCTCCTGTCTGGTCCACACGAGTTTCAGCCTTGGTCCCCACCCCTTTGCTTTCGCGTTCTGTGCCCTCCAAATCTGGGAGCACTCCTTTATTGCTTAGGCAATATCTCTATCTGCGTCTCTGTGTCCTTGTGGACGGATGCAGGTCTGCCTGTCTCGGTCCGTGGACACGTCCCTGCCCTCCCTGCGTTCCCCGCTCCCAAGTACCTCCAGTGGGGCCGCGTCCCGGGCGGTGGGGTCGCCTCGGCTGGGCTCGGGCTGCTCAAAGCGTGGGGAGACTGCGTCGGGTTCTGCCCCTTCGGCAAAGCCGCATTCTTCCCCGGCAGGGCCACTCCTCTTCGTCGCTTCCCCAGCGCCTGAGCGGACGCGCGGAGAAAGGGAGGGAGGGAGGGAGGGAGTGAACCGATCGAGTGAGCTAGCGAGCGGACAAGCAAAGAACCAGGGACTCGATAGCGCCGAACTCACCGGCTACTCTGCCGGGGTTGACCAGTTGACTAGTTGCGGCCCCTCCCCGAGCCCAGGTCATTCCCATTACACCCCTTCAACCCCCGCCCTGACCTCGGAACGCAAACGCTCCCCCTCCTCCCAGCAATCTTTCTCTCTCTCACACACACACACACCCTCTCCCCAGACGCCGGGTTTGGGCTTGGCCCCTCTGTGAAGGAAGAGGTGGCCAGAGTTCCCCTCACCTGCTCTGAGGTCGCCAAGGCGGTAAGGAGGGTGGATACACAGTTCGAGTGGCCAAGTCTTTCATCATTTCTCTTTGCCTCAGTTTCCCCACCAAGAACAGGTGGCTGGAGGGCGCCTTTGCCAAGGTGAGGACGGAGTTGAGAACCGACTTGGGCATTGAACAGGGCACTCTGAGAGGGCAGAAGAAGCACATCTGGTCCACTGGGATCCCGCCCACCTCTGATCCCTGGACCTGCCCCTTGGGAGGGGTCAGCCTTGGCCTGAATTTGGCCCTAGCAGAGGCTTCAGTAGCCCAAAGGTCTTCAGCCAGCCCTTAGCTTCCCTCAGCCTGCAGGCAACCTTGACTGCTGCAGACACTCTACCCTTCTAGGCATCTCAGAGTTTGCACTTTGGTAGCTCTCTTCCTGCTGGACTTGCAGACTTGCTTCACATGGAGTGAGGGAGGTCTCGGGATCCCAAAATGAGTCCAGTGAGGGCAGCCAAGAAAGAGCCTGCTCATGGGGACACAGACAGAGGCAAGCTATGGCGGCAGTGAAGGGGTTAGGCGCCATAGAGCTACTGCCTGACTCACCCTCAAAGCTCTAACCACTTTGGGCTATTTTTGCCAGAGAGGGGCCCCAGGCTTCCCAGCCGCCCCCCGCCCTTGCCAGACCGCAGCCCAAGGCATGGCTGGCCCCCGAGCACCCAAAGCTGGCATGTTGATTCAGAGAGCAGCCCCCGGGGAAACAGAGCCATAGGGCTAATGCCCACAACCACAGTCAACTCTTCCTTGGCGGTGGCCTGGAAGCCATGGGGGCAGCCGGGCTTTGCCTCCAGTCTGTGCTGCTGCAGATGCTCCCCCATGCTGCAGAGTACACTGCAGTCCAGGCGCAGAGTGGTCTGATAGAGGGCAGCCACTTTCCTTGGGATGGTTATTGTGCCAAACCCTGAGCAGGCTGGGAGGGGAAAGTCCCAGAGTCCCTGACACTAGACAGCAGTGACCACAGAGGGTTGCTCTTCAATTTCCCCACCTCTGGGAACTCTAGAGCTCCTGCCTCACCTCCCTTTTAGGGACTAAGCACCCAACCCTGTGTGGCACTTGAGGCCACCAGAGTCTGCAAGCCCTATCTAGGTAGTTTTCATTCTTATACCTGGATTCAGTCACCTCCACCTGTGTTCTGATCTTTCCACCTGGAACTCCAGTCAGGGTCCTGGAGCGGGGAGGATGAGTTTTCTAGCTCCTCTGCCTCCATGGGAACCTTACAGACATTTATCTTTCACCAGGTGTCTCTGGGTCTCCCTCTGGTGTCTTTTTTTTTTTTTTTTACCTTTTGATTCTTTTCAGGCTCCAGTATAGAGTCAAGTGCCTACGAGGGGCTGGGATCAGAACTACCAACCCTAGGTCCCAACTTCTCAGTGACTCCTGCATTCCCCAAACAGGCTTGTTCCTAATCCCAGGACTCATATTCCTGCCTCTCTCTCCACTGGAGCCCAACTCTGGGACTAGAGGCCACAGACAGACAGACTGGGTGGCCTGAGCTGGCCCGCAGTGCCCTCAGCCCCAACCGATCGCTTAGACTGAGTGCTGACCCACAGTCGGCTGGAGGGCGGTGGGGCAGGCGGGGCCTGGAGAGGGCTTCGGGTGCACACCCATTGCCTAATACCCCAAGCATGCAGCCAGCTCCAGGAAAGGGGAGGGGCGGAAACCAGGGAGACCTTGGGGCTATGACATGAGGAAGAAAGTGGGGGGCTGTCATTAATGAGGGGAGGAAGCCATAGAGAGCTGGTCCCCTTTCTCCTCTAAGAAATGATTGTCAAAGGCTGCCTTTCCTATAAAGAAACTGGAGGGTGTAGAGACAGCAATCTGGGAAGAACACTGGGGCCCTGGAGGGTGGGGGTCAAAGAAAAGAGTAGGGGCCTCTGGAGATTGGGGGATCAAGCAACTGAGGCGGTGGCTAAAGCCAGGCGCAGCCTCAGGAACCTCCTTTCCCTTCCCGCCACCCCCTCCCCCGTGTTTGCCTTGGCCCAGGGTCTCGGGTGACTCATCTGCTGCTAAGCCGCTGATAGGGGCGGCCAGGCCCGGGGAACCCAAATTATAGGCCCGGGAGGGATGGATGCGCCCGCAGCGGTGAGCTCAACTGCGTACGCTGCCCACCCTCTGCCTCTCACGCCTTCTGTTGCAGCGCTGGAGGCCACCACCCAGAGGCACCAAAGAGTCCAAAGCCTGACTGTGCTGGACTCTTGGGACTCCCCCAAAATTCAGCAGTGGCCCCAACAAATCTGTGGGATTGCCCTAAACAGAAATTTGCTTCCTTTCCCCACCCCAGGCTGACAGAGGAGTTCAAGCCGGCGATGCCGCCTGCTGGTGCGTCAAAGGAAGACAGGTTCCTCTGTCCATAAACTCTGAGAGTCCTGCTCCTCTGCTTCCCCTCCAGACTCCAACTTAAAAGCATCTTTCTTTCCCCTTTGACATCCCTCTCTTGTCCCCATTCTAGGAGTGATAAAGAGAAAAATAAAGCAGGGTAAGGGAAGTTATTGTTGTTATTAAGTGCCTTTGAGTCAGTTCCAACTCATAGCAACTCTGTGTAGGGTTTCTGAGGCAAGACTGTTAAAGTTTGAACTGCTGATCCTGTGCTTATCCTACAGTGCCACACCAGTGGGATTCCATTTTATATAAGGAGAAGGGAGTGAGGGTGCAAATGCATGAAGATATCTGGGGAGGAGCATTCCAGAAGACAGAGAAGTAGGTGCAAAGACCTTAAGACAGGAGAATGCTTCCTGTGTTCCAGGAATTAACAAAAGCTTCAGTGTGACTGGAGGGGTGACCCACAGGGAGAGAGTGTTAGGCAATAATATCGGAAGCAGGGTCACATCATATAGGACTTTGTAGGCCACTATAAAGATTTTGCCTTTTGCTGAGTGGGGTGGGGAACCACTGAAGAGCGCTAAGCACAGAAATGAAACAATTACTTGTTTTATAAATGCTGACTGGCTGTGGGGGGCTGGAAGTGGCAACTATAGAAGCAGGGAGAGCTGTTAGGAAACTGTTAGGAGGCTCTTGCAGTGATTCAGGCAAGAAATCCAATGTTAAAGTAGTGGAGTGGTGAGAACAGTTCAGAGTCTGCATATATTTTGAAGATAGGATTTGCTAAGAGACTGGATGTGGAAAATGAGAAAAAGAGATAAGTCAAAGATGATTCCAAGATTTTTGTACTGAGCAACTAAAAAGATGAAGCTGCCATTTGCTGAGATGGGGATATAATTGCAGAAAGAGCAGGTTTAGGCAGGGAAGGAATCAGGAGTTCAGTGTTGAACACACAAATTTTGAGATGCAATTTAAATGTTAAAGATACAAATCCAGAGTTCAGGGCTAGAGGTGTAAATTAGAACAAAAGAACCAGTATGCCTCAGTGTTTAAAAATTGGAGACATAATTGACTTAACATAGATCACAATGATCTACATCCTACTTTGATGAGTAGCAACTGGAGTCTTAAAAGCCTATGAGTACACCCCCCCAAAAAAAAAAAGCTAAAGAGGATAGAGAGAAACACTGTTAACTGATGATATATGGAGGGGATAATAATCAGTGTAATGAAACAAGCTATATGAATGGTTGAATGTGAAGCTGATGATG